ATTCTATAAAGAGCTTTACCACATAAAAATTATGCTGGAAAGTGCTTTAAAAAATCTTTTATGCAGAAAATAAATGACACGACTTTTTGTGACCATTCTAGGGTCCGTTTAAGAGAGACGATGCGAAGGCAGGTGTCTGAAATCAACCAGCTGAAGGAAACCAACCAAAGACTCAGCGAGGAGAAGGCGGTGCTTCAGTTGCTCATCACTGAACATATGAAGCACTGTCCCAATGCTGACCACTTAAGTAAGTGTCATCATCATCATCTTCATCCTTAGGTTATTAACGCCCGTATTCACAAACATTACTATTCGGTCTCACAGTGCGCGTGGACGCACAGGGTCACACACGAACCAATCACGCATCGATTCTAAATACGGGCGTAAGTCCGTCGTCATAACAACAATGTTGACATTGACAGCGTTGTTGTATTTTGGCAGTTGGTGGTTGAGGATTCCGAGTGAAGCTTGCTTCCACCTTCGGCCTGATCATCACTCTCCATTAGGTGAGATGCAGGCCAAGAGCTTCCTCGTTATGAATAAAAATTTTCCACTAAGAGTCATCATTGCACGAGCACGACTCAACACTGAATATATGAAGCACTGTCCCAATCATTCGATCGCTTCTGTGGTCTACTGGTTCAGATCCAGAAGTCCCGGGCTCGATTCCCAGTGGGGACAGATATTTCTGTTCGGTTTGGTTGGTGGTAGGGCTTGTTCTAAGTTCGCCTGGCTAGCTACCACCATCTTACCTAAGTCTGTAGCCATAACAAGGTAACGCTGCCAGCATCCAGGTACTTCCCGCGACCTTCACCAGGTCGTCGGTCCACCTAGTAGGGGCCAGTGGTCGCCACTCGAGAACTTTTCTGCCCCATCGGTCATCAGCTCTACAAGCTATGTGCAAGCCCACTGCTACCCAAGTTTAGCAATTTTGCGAGCTATGTCGGTCTTATAACTCAAAGGTGACTGACTGACTGACATAGTGATCTATCAACGCACAGCCCAAACCACTGGACGGATCGGGCTGAAATTTGGCATGCAGGTAGATGTTATGACGTAGGCATCTGCTAAGAAAGAATTTTGCGAAACTCCACCCCTAAGGGGGTAAACGAGATCCACGCGTACGAAGTCGCGGGCGGCCGCTAGTGCGCTATAAAAACTATTTTATAAGCCTCATTTATTTATTTATAAATAATTATACATTCTGTCTTTTCAGGAACTACTCAAGAGAAACTCAGCACGCAGCCTCGGAGCTAGTATGTAAATATATTATTTATTATCTGTATATTATGAAGAAATAGTTGATTTTAATTTTTTAAAGACTGAAATGGTAGACCTTCTTTTTGCAGGTAATCGTAAAATACTTGCCATTCTGTTTTAAACTTTGATTGTTGAGAATAGAGGCGAGAATTACTTGACCTCTAGTTTAAAAAAGTTTATTTTTAACTAAGTTATTATATTAATTTAGTTTATTAAAAATCACATACAGGGTGACAAAATGGAGATTCTTCTTGCAGTGCAAAAAAAGAAAAGAAAGATTGACGTGTAACTTTTTGCAAAAAATATAATTATCATTTATTTTTAAACACAAAATTAACAAAATACTCGGATTTTTAACAATTTAATTTTTAATTTAAACAAAAAATATTTCCAAACCACTTGAAATTAATTTGTTGATTAATTATATTTATTTATATTAAATCTAAGTTATTTCTCTCGAAAACAATTTAAACTAACAAATTTTTAAATTGGGCCTTTTTAAATAATTCAAAAAGTATTTTTGTTGTAACGTCGCGTCCACATATTGGCTAATTCGCACATTGATCTCGAATTCAACTATATTTTAATGATATAGTATTTTTAATTAGATTATTTATTTATTTTATAATGATATTTGTAGTCAACGTTAGCTATGTATTATGTACTAGCGGCCGCCCGCGACTTCGTACGCGTGGATCCCGTTTTACCCCCTTCATCTTTATCTTACGCGGTTTAGATTTTTTCATACAAATGTTTTTTCCCGCTAACTCCCGTTCCCGTTGGAATTTTGCAATATCCTGTTGTAACTAAGCTTTAAGTTTACTAAGGTACCTGCATGCCAAATTTCAAGAGTCTATCTTACGCGGTTTAGATTTTTTCATACAAATGTTTTTTCCCACTAACTCCCGTTCCCATGGGAATTTTGCAATATCCTATTGTAACTAAGCTTTAAGTTTACTAAGGTACCTGCATGCCAAATTTCAAGCGTCTAACTTAAGCGGTTTAGATTTTTCGTACAAAAGGATTTTCCCGCTAATTCCCGGTCCCGTGGGAATTCCTAAGTATCCTATAACCTGCCCAGGAGTATGAAGAATAACTGTACCAAGTTTCGTTAAAATCCGTCAAGTGGTTTTTGTTTCTATAAGGAACATACAGACAGACAGACAGACAGACAGACAGACAGACAGACAGACAAAAATTTTACTGATTGCATTTTTGGCATCAGTATCGATCACTAATCACCCCCTGATAGTTATTTTAAAAATATATTTCATGTACAGAATTGACCTCTCTACAGATTTATTATAAGTATAGATAAAGTTGATAATAAATTGAGGAAGTTTGTTATTCTAATACTAAGTACACTGATAACATCCTGTATTAAATTAAGTATTAATTTAAGTTTAATAGTTAATTTTTAATATTTATTCTCAGTGCCTTATTTGCCTTTCATAAGTCACAACAAATCTATGTAATAGTATGATATTATGTAGCTGTATTTATAATGTATATTTTTAAACCCACCATATGCAACTACATGACAAAATTAAATGCAATAACTAAAAAAATGTGTTTCTTTTTAACAAATACGATTCATAACTTAGATTAGAAGTTTCTTACGCTTCTTCCTCTTAAAAAAGTTCATTTATTTATATGCTAAAATATTTTTTAAGTTCACCCTATGAGCACGCACACAAAAGACGATTTTAGTTTAAGAGTCGGTAAATTAATCTCAATTTGTTAGACTGCGCATTTCAAGTTAGCAAGGTTTTCAGATTTTTTTGGCTTACGGCGTTTTTAAATATTTGAATATACAGGGTAAAATTTAAATCGTTGGCATCCTTTTAAAATAAGACTACTCATTGATACGCAATATGTTCTCCAGAGAGACAAATCATTCATCATTCACCCTGTATACACCACTAAATTTTTATCACCGAAAAAAAAATTGTGGGTAATGAGTTATTGATACTGATCCTATTTATGCAAAAAAAAAGTTAAATAAAGTTACTCAAAATTTCCTCCCAAAATCGGTAATTTATGGACACACGCGTCGCTAGCACTATTTACGTAAGATAATGTAATACTTATTAGAACTCAACATGGTCTAAGTTAGCTACGTATGTAATAATAACATTGGAAGCGTGGTCGAGGCGTGAGCGAGACAGACAGATCGGGGCAATATGCGAGTGCGTACGACTACTCTAGCGAGCAGCGGAGTGAACCAGCTGTGACTCGTAAAATACGGACTAAAGAAAATTTAATATAAAAATTAACTTTATGAAAAACATTTCTTTTTCTTTTGCTTTAAAATTTTCACACGTTTCTACATAACCTGTTAAAATTTTTTCGGTGATAAAAATGTAGTGGTGTATATTTATATTCGGGGTTAAAATAAAACTGCATGTTTATAACAATATCTCTATAATTATGGCACTTCAATATCGACGAAACAATTGCATTATCCCTTAGGTTTGAAGCTAGGAGGAAGTAGCGCAGTCTAGAGTCCAGTGGCAAAAAACCGGGAAATTCTTTAAAAAACCGGTATTTGTCTAAACCGGTTCTGTAACTTGAACCGGTTCCTTGTTAAAATACAGCACTATTTTGATATCGATAAAAATACAGATAACTAAATGATACCGGTAAATTTTACTTACCGGTATTTTTCTGATACCGGTTCCGTATTAAATAAAAATGTACGCTTTTTTTTTAAGTTATTGAATGACGAATCGCATGACATCATTTTAGTTGAAAATGACTAATATTTTTGTTTTTTTTTTTAAATGTCTTCTTACTTCTTATGCAAGTTATAAATAATTAACAAAGAAATAAACCTTTACCATAGATTCTTTATAAAATACTAGCTGACCCGGCGAACTTTGTTCCGCCTTAATGGCAATAAATAAGCAGACTTTTTTTTATTTCGAACGGGATAAAAAGTATCCTATGTCCTTTTCCTGGCTCTAAACTACCTCCCTAACAATTTTCAGCTAAATCGGTTCAGCCGTTCTTGAGTTATAAGCGAAGTAACTAACACGACTTTCTTTTATATATATAGATTCACAGTTTAGTTTTGGCGTATGAAAGAAAAAGATACACTGTAAAACTTTGAGCCTATAAAGTGTCATCTCTTTCCCCCACGCGTTAAAACTTTTTTTGTACAATATTTTTATTAAATTGCCACCGAAGCCTAGACTTTAAAAGTTCATTAATACTGCTCTTTTTTATTGTCAAAAAATAGAAAGTTTAGATTCAAACCATCGGTTTACATTCCACCATTCCGTTCATGACATTTGATTTAATTTTGATTAAAAAAACAATATAAATCTTTATAATGACATTTTGCGATTGAAGATCAAAACTATTTCAAATAATTAGAATTATATAAAATTAAGTTTGTGACTTAATTAATAACAATGGATTTATTTTTAAAACATTATTTTTGAATTTTGAACACTACTGAGGTCCAACTGTCGACAATTTATTAAAAATAGTTATCGATAAAAATTTTATCGATAATAAAGAAAAAATAATTTATTAAAGTCAGTAAACTTGTTAAAAATATGTACTTACTATTTACGCCACAAAATTGTAATTTTTACAATTTTGTGGCGTAAATAGTAAGTACATATTTTTAACAAGTTTACTGACTTGAACAATTATTCACGTGCTTTGTACTCTTCTTGCATCTTACACTCAACCCACCACAAAGTAGCAAATGATTTTGTACTTTACTCTAAAAAGATAAAGTTCAAAATCTATTGGAGAATTTCGCAATTTTGTGGTGACTGTTGACGACAAATAAGTAGTAAAGGCAAATTTTCTATTTTACAATATCGTTTCTTTAGTATTCACAATAACTGCCAGATAAAATCAAAAATTATACATGAAATGTCCCAAACGGAATGGTTACTTAGAAATAAACTTAAATATAGTTTTTCCATTCATTTCGGACCAACAGATGACATGAGAAAAAAATGAAAACGGACCACAGTATGTTTATAATAGGGCCAGAGAACAAGCATTCTTGGTGCGAGATTTTTATACCTTTTTGTGACTGATGTTTCATGTGAATTTCACCTTACCTTGCTGTCTTTTAAACTCTGATATTGTATTGTCAACTTATTTACTTGATAAACAAATAATCAATAACAGTGGTTAACAAAATATCAGAGTGATGACCAACATTTCGAAATTAGGCGAGTCAAATGCGCTTGTATACAGGTCGATAAGACCTAGACTTGGTTTCATATTTGAAAGCCATTCCTTCAGATTCCAGCCTCTTCAGATTTTTCCTCTCTCACCATCAACACTGATACTTTGTTCAAGTGCCAGTAAGAGAACGACGAATACGAAGCTCATAATGTTCAGTGTATTAAAAGATTTTAATTTTCATGCTTTTCCCTCTAAACGTAAGGGAAACCTCAATCAATTGAGAAATTTTGAAGCATTGATCTAAATCTACGATTGGTCGAATTTTAGCCAAACATAAGCTTCAATTATTGTGAGGCGTATATGAAGATAGTTGATGAAGTATTGTTCTCTTGTCTAAAACGCTTGTTCTGTGGCCCTATCGATGGTCGGCGAGCAGTAGACTCAACTGGCCTTTATATTACCCGCAAAGCTTCAGCCGGTTAGTGTTTCCAAAAATCAAAAGTGCAATCGTTATTATTTTTTGTATTTTTCCATAACTTACGGACAAAATTACCGCGCTTATGTTCGTAACTGCAATGTAAGGACAATATCGATAAAATTTACCGATAATTTAATTACCTTGTCACACAAGTAACAGCACTATCATTATATTTTGTCGTTTGTATCAGGCACTTCTCTTTGTCACTCTCAAAATAATATTAAATCATAAATGTTACATTTCTGTGTATTTTAAAGCTTTCCCAAGGCGAAGTAATTTTGTCCGTAAGACGTTTGTTATATTATTATCAAAAAATAAACTCATGCTGAACAAACCCCAATGGGGGCCAAATGGCCCCCGATCAACAATTAAGCCCAATTCTGCATAGATATGTTAAAACTCTAATTGACTATGTAACGTTAGTTTTCAGAACAGCTAGTCAATCTAAATGCGTGATATGCAATAATTAGAAGGTGAAGAAAGAAGTTTAATTTAAATAAATGTGATGGAACACATTTCGAAACGGTTGCCGTCGAAAAAAATTTAAACCACTAATTTAATTAATCGGAAACATCGACAACCGTAAAAAATGTGTCCCAACACTACATTTACAATTTTAGATTTATCACTATTATATTAAATTAAAGCGAATAGGATAAAAATGTAGTACTTATGTCTTAACAGCTCTCAGAATAAAAATTCTAGATACGATACTCATTTAAAATAGCCATCATTTGAACACATTTCTACCACTAGTACATTTACTGGCAGCATATTGTGATTTGGTAGTTTTTTCGGACGTAGTTTTTTAAGTTATGACAGCTAATTTAAATGATAGTTTTTTAGGGTCGTTCGTAGCATTCCAAGTGTAGCGGCTGGGTGGATGTGGCCCCACTACAGTGCAGTGACGCATGCCTGACCGCCTATACCATAACATTGTTGCTAGCCTTAAAATTTTTAACTTTACCACATGCAATGATTGTGATATTTTTAGAGGTAAAAGACCTACAACTTTTATAGAAACACTTGAAATTGTTTTGAAACAAAATTACACTTAAATGGTTATTTATTAACTTAAATCTTAATTATATAATTTTCATTTCAAGTGTTTCTATAAAATTAGGTGATAGTTATACTCAAAGGTGACACGCAAGTGTCAGGTAAATATTACTAAATAATTAATAACAATTATAGGAAGATTATTTCTATTCATATGATATTATATGTATCTATATCTCCATAATTAATTTACATACCAAATTATCTATTATATGCTTTGCACTCATTATTATATTATATTTATATACAGAGGTAAATCAAAGCAAAAATAACTTTACTTATTATAAGGTGCCGCTTGTAAAACGCCGGCAAATATTGCAGTTATAATTGCTTAAATAACGCTCTGTGGATTTGTAAAGGAACTACCGTGGTATGCATTATTCTACTCTTTGTGGATTACATTTTAATGCACTGGCAACACTGAACCTCTTGGCAGTATCCTAGTGATGCACCAAGTGTCTATATATTTATCGATATATACCGGTATCTAACTATAATAATCGATGCGATTTGGTTTAACTATTGTTATACTAGTTTCACTGGTTTTCTCACTGTAATTTTCATACACTAGAGCAGTTGCTAATAAACCAACTAAGTATTTGTATATTTAAAATATTGCTTTCTCACGGCATGTAAAAATAGTTTTAATTAATAATTTAATTTAATTTAATTCAAAAAGCCATAAATTAGCCTCTTCTTCGAATCGGAGATGAACTCTTATTTACCTTACAATATAATGACTAATATAGTACTCATAAGGCCTGGATTAAACTATATTCACGCATACATATCTCAGCATGCCAGTAAATTAAAAATAATCATAAAAAACAAATCAGCAAAGACTGTTAGGAGTTCGGAAGGACGTGTAGACAGTTACGGGGTTGTGTGACGTTTTGAGGATCCCTAATTGTGCTGGGCGCACCACAATCAACTATATATCAACTACATTCTTTATAATGCACCCAGCACGTGCTAGCGAAACTAAATCCGACAAAGCCACGAAAGAAATTATTGTCGATAAAGGCATATTTATATTGCCACGTGGACGCCATGCGGCAATATGATTACACCTCAATTGGGATTTTTCAGATACACTAGGGACGTGAAGTGTGCCTTAGTCGACAAAAGTATCGATAAAAAACAGCTGCTTAACACTCAATATAGTTTCCGTTCTATTGAATTATTATTCTTATATTATATTTGCATTCCGACAAGGTCACTTTTAATTGGCCATTATTCTTTATTTATCATATAAAATATTTATGTATTTGGGTCCGAGATATATTCCAATTATACATAACAGTCTTTGTTGCTGTTTAACTCCTAGGTATATTACTGTTAACACAAATTTGTACCTCTATCAATGCATTTTGCCCTCTGCTAACCAATCTCATTATAAAACACTAAGCAGAAAACTTAACAATTAAAATATTATTATACATTAACGATTAAAATTTATTTGGTGTTTAATTTCGTATAATAATTACTCTATATTTAACCTTACTTAACCGCATAGCGTTCTACTATACGAATCTAGCTTTTAGTTTGTTCCTTACGCTAATTCTTTGAAGCAAACCACACTCGAAATCTTTGACTTTCCAGCAAAAACAAAAGAAAACATGCTTATGTCAAAAAAACAACGCACTGAGCTCGATTAGCGATTTTTAAATTGGGAAAATTGCCAAAATAAGCTAGATATAATGAAAAAAGTGTTAATTAAATTATAATGATCTGAATATTCTTGAGTTTTTACGATAAAAAAACTACAAATCATCCCCAACCAGTCCTTCAATAGCGTCGTCTACCTGCAAAACTATGGCTCAATCTATAATTGATTGCTAACGTCAACTCGCGCCTATGGATCCGGCCTGCCTACGCGCAGGTTACGATTGGACAGTATCACCTATTTTGTATCTCTTATAAAACTCTCAGGTAACTAAGTGCTTCTATTATATTGGTCATTTCAGTCTGCTAAACTATATTTTGTCTTCATCCACTCACTACCGATAGACAAAGACAGAAAATAGAATCACGTCGAATCAAATGACCCTATCCTGTCTTCTACTTACAAAACATGAAACACAACCGTTTTACTCGACTTACACAGTGGCGGTAGCTTATTGCCATACGAATTACATTACACCTAACCTACTTTAATTAAGATTTATAATTTCCGTCTAATTCATACGGCAGTTCTCGCTAGTTCATTCCATTTCGTTATCTATCTAAGGTGTCACACGTCTATTAAAGTGCATCTATGAGCAAATCGGGCCAAAACGACCGTTAGTGAAGCGTCGATATAACCGTTCCGAGATCGTCGCATCACTATTACTGAGCATTATATACACGCTATTTTAAATTTGGAAAATCGTTAGTAAATCGAATGATGATGATACGTGCTTATTCCATCAGCAAAAGCTAATCAAAACCATTGCTAGCTTCCTTTCAAATAAGCTCTAGTCTAGGCTACAGCTACTATTGGACGAAGAGTAAATCAGCTAGGGTCATCCAATTGGTTCACTCGAGGGTTTCGGTTGACCCAACTGGGTGTGACACGTCTACTTCACCTTATACATGCACATGCTAGAATCGCTAATGCAGTGAGGGCCAAAGGAGTGTCGACTGCAGGCGCGGAGTTACACATATCCTCTTCGCAGAAACACATGTGCCCCGTCCCCGTACTTTCCATCATGCAAACGTGGTCCACCATGAACAGGTTTATTTGAAGCTGGGAGGTGCACGTGCGACGGACGACTTCGTACGCTGGAAAGAGAGAGAATTACTGTTAGATGTCTAGTCGTAATACTTCTTACTTGCCTCTTCTCAGAGGACCTCAGGGAGAGCAAAAGTTGCGGCTTGGTTTTGTTGGTGGTGCCCTTGAAAAGGAGGCTGACAATAGTGACCGAGTTTCTTGCGCTGCTTCTTCTCAGCACTGACCTATTTATTGTCCTGAAGCAGTGGTGGGGTTAATACTGGGACGTGTAAAAGTGCCTTTTAAAAGCCTGCTTTCAAAAATAAATGAGCTTTATGCTTTTTCGGCCGATTGGAGGTAAGATAGTCAGTTCCTAAGTCACTGTGGATCCCGAGTAAAGTTAGCTTCCACCTTCAGCCTGATCATCACTTTTCATCAGGTGAGATATAGGCCAAAAACCTGGATGCGAGCAATCCAGGACCGATCGGTGTGTAAATTCTTGAGGTCCAGCACATTTATGACGATTTACGAATTCTAGGTATGTTCCTTTGTTTCCAACTAAAGCAGAGTACATGAACCTTGTGGCGAACCATTAGTTAAACTTAGCACCAATTTATCCCAGATAGCTCTTCGCGAGACTTCCTGGACTGGTAGATCCAGTTCAATTGTAGTAATTGGTCCCGAATATGCGTAAGTGGTGATGCTCGTATTTCACAGGTAATTGACGCAGTTGGTAACCATGGTGCTAGTTTCGAGTGTCCTGTGGGGAGTCTATAAAAATACCTAATAGGTTAGTAGATTCTTCAGGAAGAACACTTGGTTGTAACCTTGGCCGTAGTTTCTTGTGTCCTAGAGGAAGTGTATAAAAAGACCTTATAGAGCTATGAGTAGATTCTTCAAGATCATCTAGTTAAGTGTTTGATAGACATAATTATGTTTTGTAATATCCTAACAGTGGTAGGAAGGAATTGAAAGGTGACCCACATCATGGACGCTTAAAAATGTTACGTGATCTCGTGAAGGTCGCGGGAAGAACCTGCATGCGGGCAACTCAAGACCGATCGGTGAGGGAGGCCTCTACTCAGCACTGGACGTAATTTAGAATAGAATAGAAAGTATTTATTTGTCTCAAAACAGGTTTCATTTACAGTTTTTCACAGATACAAAAAATCATAAGAGACAAAAAGGTCTATGACTCAGTGATTGCAGGAGACCCACAAACCCTGTTATTCTGCCATAGCCAAGATAATTATACATAAGTAAATAAATATTAATTTATAGGTACTTAAAATTACAATTTCCTAAAATTACAAATTGCTATGTGAACTTATAATTAGCCAGTGCCAGAGATTGCTCTTGAAGCAGCCAGTTGCGACATCTTTTGCGGAAGGTCGGTAGCGTAAGATCCAATGCGGCGCGAACCGGTGCTGGCAGGTCATTCCAAATTTTTGCAGCGGCAAATCTAAAGCAGCCCCTAGCACTAGCCAATTTTATTTTTGGTATAAGTAGCTGATGCCCCCTGTCTCTAAGCAATCTATTTACGTGTTTATGAAACAGTTTACTCCATAAGTAAGTTGGCATTTTTGTATGATGCAAAGTGTGCAGAAAACATGCATACTTTAATGTGGCTTGTTTGGACATACTGAGAATGTTTTTTTCGATTAAAGTAGGTGTAATATGATGTCTTCTAGGGATAGAAAAATTAGCTACTACGAGGGCTGCACTAAAAGTATCGGGAATGGAATATTTCCACTGTTCCTATCATATCAAAATATTTTTAATTGCAAACTCCTTGGTTTTAAACATCGAATACCATTTATTTATTTAAAAAAAGATTCTTGGTCTTATCACAAGGTCTTGTGAAACTTGTTTAGTCGTTGAGAAAATGGAATTGACTCGAGAAAATTGAAGAGCGATGATTTATTATGACTTTCTTAGTGGTTTAACACAAAAACAGTGTGTTGACCGGATGATTTCTGCATTTGGTAATGAAGCCCCATCCAAAACCACAATTTATCGCTGGTTTGCTGAATTTCAACGTGGACGTGTCAAGCTCAGTGATGATCCCCGTCAAGGTCGTCCAAAAACTGCAGTCACCTAAGAAAACGTTGATTTTGCGTAAGCTGATTGAAGAAGATCGACATGAGTGACATACCGCGAGATTCAGGCAACTTTAGACATTAGCATGAGTCAAATACAAATAATCTTGCATGAACAATTAGGTGTAAAAAAGTTGTTTTCCCGATGGATACCGCATTCGCTCTGTGAAGAGCAAAAAGCGGCTCGCGTTACTTGGTGCGTCAGAACTCTCGAAAGATTACACGCAGGATCCTCAAATGCTGTATACAACATCGTATTAGGTGACGAATCCTGGATATGTGCGTACGTACCCGAAACAAAAACCCAGTCACGAGTTTGGGTGTTCAAAAATGAGTTAAAGCCAACAAAAATTGTTCGTTCACGGAGTGTTGCAAAAAAAATGGTGGCCACGTTTGTCTCCAAGACCGGCCATGTTGCATCTATTCCTCTTGGGGGACAAAGAACGGTTAATGCAGAATGGTATGCTAGCATTTGTTTGCCACAAGTCGTTTCTGAACTCCGTAAAGAGAACTGCAACCACCGCATCATCCTCCATCACGACAATGCGAGTTCTCACACCGCGCACAGAACAAAAGAGTTTTTAGAGCAAGAAAACATAGAATTATTAGACCATCCGCCATACAGCCCCGACCTAAGCCCTAATGATTTCTATACTTTCCCTAAAATAAAGAATAAATTGCGTGGTCAGAGATTTTCATCACCTGAAGAAGCTGTGGACGCCTACAAAACGGCCATTTTGGAGACCCAAACTTCCGAATGGAATGGTTGCTTAAATGATTGGTTTCGTGTATGGAAAAATGTGTCAAATTTCGCGGAGAATACTTTAAAAAGCAATAAATACATTTTTAAATAGTAATGTTGTTTCACTTCCTTGATTCCCGAAATTTTCAGTGCCGCCCTCGTATAAGCTGTAGATCCTGGTAACACGGGAAATGCAATGCTGGGAGAGAAGGCCTTAAACCTAATCAATTGCGGGCAGAATTGTTTAGTGAAGTCAGCAAGAAGCACCTGGATCCAGGTAGTACAGAACCAGTCGATGTGGAAATCCGTTGTTCAGCAGTGAGCCTAATTTGGCGCAAAAGATAAACTGTAGCTCCTGGCTACATAGGACGTACCGCGCTGCGCTATCCGGTACGTGACTTCCACTCCAGAACCTGGCTTCCGTCAGTTCTGCGTACTATGTGCCCTGCCCATTGCCACTTCAGCTTGCTTATCCTTTCAACTCGCGATTAGATAGTTAAGAATATACTCACCGCTTTTTGAGTAGCGCACCATCTTGACGCAACACCCGTTGCAGGTCTGCGTGTAGTTGAACTCTTACTAACTCGTTGGAAGCGGGAAGCACTTGGATACGGGTAGCTTAAGACAGGTCCTTGGGGGAGGCCTTTCTCCAGCAGCAGATGGAAGTAATTTGGCTACATTGAAGCTGCAGTGTCGGGAACGAGAGGACCTTAAACCTGATCACCTGTTGATGACGTCCACTGCTGGACAAAGCCTCCCCCAAGGTTTTCCATAATTAATGGTCCTGCGCTGCCCGCATCCAGGCTCTTCCCGCGACCTTTACCCGATCGTCGGTTCATCAGTCAAAAGTTTTGACCAGAAAGTGTTGCCAGTGATGGTATACGGATCTGGGACGTGGTCGCTTACTATGGGCCTCTTAAGAAGGCTCAAGGTCACCCAAAGGGCGATGGAGCGGGCTATGCTCGCAGTTTCCCTGCGTGATCGAATCAGAAATGAGGAGATCCGCAGGAGAACCAAAGTAACCGACATAGCGCGCAGAATTGCTAAATTATAAGTAGGTTTTAAGATAATATACTCACGGCTTTTTGAGTATCGCACCATCTTGACGCAGCACCCGTTGCAAGTCTGCAATGGCGGCTGGTCCCGCGGCAACGCGGTGTAGTTGAACGGGTCCTTGCAGCGGTAGTCGGTCCAGCTGTCACACTCGTAGCAGTAGATTGTGCGGGCTGGGGAAGGTAGACTCGTGAGTTTAGTGATGCCGCGTGGTCGGTATTTTATCGATAAATGGAATGGGGTTGAGTAACTAGACAGTCCATAAATTAATCGACTCAATCAATTGATAAAATAATATAGGGTGTAATTTTTAAATTTTTTCACTTGATCAAATGGGCTGATTCTACTACTCAAATACAAATACTCTTCCTACAGGACCAATATAAAATTCTCAACTTTTTTTTTTCAAATATACGAACTTCGGTCCCTTAGGAACAGTTGTTGCTTTTGAGTAGTAGAAGCAATGCTTTTTGTTTTATCAAGTATAAAAATTACAGCCTGTATTATATTGTCGTGAAACTAAGATCGATACCTAGATTATGACAATCGATTATACTGTTGGAAATTAAAGATTGATTTGATCAATAATCTCTAAAAATCGACTACAATCCATTAGTTAATAATAATCGAGTATTCGTTAGCACTAATGATGATATTTTGCTGGTGATAGTTGAGTTGTAGGCGTTGTAGCAAAGGTTATTATAACTGCAGTATGACAATGGATTGTGACTATTATTGTAATTGTTATTCACTATAATGTTGGCTAGTAGTGCAACGTGATTTCTTAGCGTGAGTTTGTATCATAGAAACCTCAGACAGTATAATATACAGGGTGTTAGGTAAATGGGTATATGAGCCGACACTAGCCCATGTTAACATGGTCATATAAATGGTATGGTGAAGTCAGAAAATTGATATCTTCATTTTAATTATTTTATTTTTCATACAAATCGGACTTTATAAAATTTATTTTGTACGTAAATTTAAAAAAATAAAATGATGATATCAAATTTCTGACTTCACCATACCATTTATATGCCCATGTTAACATGGGCTAGTGTCGGCTCATATACCCATTTACCTAACACCCTGTATAAAATATATTGTTGCAAAATTGCTTCTTTTACTGCCTACATCATAATAATATTATGATCCCTACTTTTATTCATATCCACCAAGAAGCCTATCAACCAGAAGAATATAATAAATAAAAAAAAAATAAATAAATAATAAACCACGGTGATATTATTATATTCTTCTGGTTTATTTTTTCAAATCTGGGTAATCTTTGGAACTACTGAACTGATTTCAAAAATTATTCTGCTGCCCAATAGAAAGCTACAAGATAAAATATGTAGTTGATAAACTAATGCCCGTTTTCACCATCAATCCCTATTTTTTAAGTGACCCCTATGGTAACACATAACAGGAATTGTGTTTCCATAGGGGTCACTTAAAAATTAGGGATTATTGGTGAAATCGGGCATAACTCACTCTGTACGTTGCAATTTTGTGTAAGATTTGACGTAATTTGAGCTTGCTAATCTGACCTTTTTGTCTGTTATTGGTTTTATTTTATTTTCTTGTTCTTTCTGTTATGTTTTTCTTTGTGTCAAATAGTAATTTTTTTTTCTAACCGGTGTATGCCCTCGCTATGACACAATTTTTATTCTGAACAGTCTAGCTGGTGGCATACCAGTCTAACCAGTACCTACTTAGAAGTATTTGAGGCCAATGCTTGGCCTAGGTCGCCTCTATCGTGTTGAGGGTAAATTTCAAAACTCAATTTGCTCACGCCTAGCAAAGGTTTCTTGTGGCTATTTCAGGCAGCCCTAGTGAGGGGAGGTTGTCGATAGTTTGGGTATCGATAAATCTGACGACATAGGTTTATAAAATAGAATGATTTTATTTAGGGAAATTGTTTTTTACCTGGGTGAGTATTTTTAGTGAATTTTATTGTTTTTTATTATTAATTATTGAGAGAGCGGTTTCTCTTGGGATAAGTGGCATTTCATGTATAAACAAAACAACCTTATACTATGTTGAAAATTACCTAATTTATGTTTAATAGCTAGTTATTTAACTATCTACAATTAGTTTTTATCTTTAGGTAATTTGGTCTCCACTGCAGTAGCTAGTCCCTCTCTAATCTACCAAAGACAAATAAAGGATTAAGTTTAAACTTCCCATTTCTTTCTAATTATTAGGCAGAAAAAATGTTACACTGAGTTTCTTTCGCCACTTCTTCTGAACATCAGCCTATATTATGTTGTCCCGTTAATCGTGGTAGGGCAAGCTATTTGGGCCGTGTTTTAAGGGCCTAAGTACTGAATAAGAGATTTGTATTTTGTATTCCATCGACAAAATACCGACTTGTTCCCAACATTACTAGTTTCTACCAACCTGTCGCTAGGCTAGGCTAGCCAAGGCTATTCAGTCACGCGATTGTTACAGATTTTTGCTTTATCCACATGTCCTTGTGAATTAAATGTTTTTGTTTTAAATGCTTTTAATAAGCTATGCTTTTTTCGTCACGCTTTGGAGAAGCTGAAAATGTGGTCCGATTTTACTTTTGTGGATGATTTGACAATGATTGACACCATTTGTCTACCAAAATAAAACTGTAGTATATTTGTAATGTAAAATAATAAATAAATAAATAAAATACGGCTCTGGACGCTTTTTCAATAATCGTTGAGAGTTTCTAAAACCTATAAAGGGCTGTATTTTTATGCTTAGCAGTCTTATGCCTGTATTCACAAACATTACTATGAGGTCTCACAGTGCGCGTGGACGCACAGGCTGACACACGAACCAACCACAAATCTCTATTCAACGCTGTGCGTGCGATTTGCTGCTTCACTTAGCAAGTATCGTTTGGGCATTTATTAATACGGGCATTAGAGATTGTGATTGCTTCAACTTCAATATTTAGACCTAGGACGGAATCTTTGACTGAGATGAAATCTAGTTTTTAACGTTGTTTTGTAATATGGACCAATTTGGACCTGAATTACATTACTATGTATATGTACCTATGTGTAACGTATTTTTTACTTCCTACATCTATTTGTGACGTCTTACAATGTAAGTTAAGATTACGTTTAAAATCGATCGACTAATTGAATTAAGGGCATCCCTATTTAACCTAGTTAGTGATGTAGCGTGTCTAATTATACAGTATCGATAAATTAAATAAGTCGTTACGTCAAGAATCTACAATCGGATTTGGATTTCAATAGAAGTCGGATCTTGTTGAGTGTGCGTGTCTGGGGGGCTAAACCGAAACGCTATTTACGTAGTTTCGAGTCTATCTGTCACTGTCGCTCATGCTGGCAATTTGCTTTGTGTGAGAAGGATGACAACATTCGAAACTTCGGATAACGTTTTCGGAGTAGCCCAGCAGATTGTTTTTTTTTCTGTCGATGAAAAAAATAATAAGTTCAGTCGTTCCAAAGATTACTTTTAATCTTAATTCAATACAATATTATTACATTTTTCTCGTAAATAGTGTGTAAATAGATACGGTTGAAAATATAAAAAGTCTTAGATAACCTTTTAAAACCGTGTATAGTCTACGCCAATTTTATAATAGGGCTGTACAAATATCGATATAATGAAACGTTTCATGAGCTATATTTTTTTCAGAGATTTTCATGTTACGCAAGCAACAGTTACACTGTCTTAGTTAAAAACCACTAATACTTACATCTACATAATTATTATTATTTCCAAATGTCTACATTTTTTCCTACAATTAAGTTTTGTAGAGAGAGATTTAGTTAGATAAATGAAAAATGCTCTTTCCAAAAAGGCTAAAATACAAAAACATGTCTTGGTAAAATGTATCCTATGGACTAAAATCAGCACTCAATATCGAAAGTCGAATTCAAGTACAATCTAAGGCTGGTTTCAGTGTCACGCGGACCGTCCGGTGCGGACCCGCTCCGCATGGCCAATCTGTATGAACTTCTAGGGACCGTTGAGTAATGCTGTCCGGAGAAACCGCTCCGCTCCCTAGCAGTTCATACAGATCGGCTGTGCGGGTGTGCGGAGCGATCCGCACTGACAGTCCGCGTTACACTAAAACCAGCCTAATGGTTATGGTGGATACCTAAATCTAAAACTAAATGTTAAATTGACCAGTGAACATCATTAGCTATGTAATTGGTGGGGTAACATCCTAAAATTATTAACTAAACATGGGTTTAAATCTAGACATAGTCAAAATACTTACCTGGAACATTTAATGACTAGTTAAACTTCTAAATTAGCAGTTATTGTCATTTCACTGTGCGTTAACCATTAGATCGAATTCTTAGTTAAGAAGAAAAAAATATTGTGATAAAAATCACTTACTCTATCGGTTATCTACTATTTATTTTCTAACACTAGTTTTTTACGATTCTTTGTTTGTGTCACACATACAATATTATGGGCTGTCTGAAATAAATATGTGCATTGCCTTGTCTCGGTGAATAAATTTTAATAATCTTAGAAGTTTCGAATGTTTTTTAAATTTTGTTTATCAAAGTAGGCAGGGTTCCTATCAAATGTTATTCGAAAAGAAACGTGTAAAAATCGCTACATAAGATCGAAGTTTTTTTTATGCATAACAAGGCAGGTATTTGACCGCAATCGTACCTGGTGTTAAGTGAGATGACACGAAAGGCAAAAAAATATCGCCTTTTTTAAGTAAGATATTTAGCCTCAAAACAAGGTTTAATATGTATTTCATTTATTTACCCAGTGGTAATGGTATTACTTTAAATTTTCCAGATTTATCAGTACCTAGTAGTATAGAATTACTGTGCTTCCATGCAATTATGCACTTTATAACGTAAAGTACAATTATTTATGCATGTGTCCCAGATAGCGTGATTGTGGGTCGCAGGATTATTGACGTACATTTAATTTTACTGGCCTACTTGTTTGATGCAAGTATTTTTTAAACTTTTAACTAATAAATAATTGTAATTCAAATTCAAATATTTATTTGCACAATTTTGGACAAACATAATGAAAATTAAAATTTTATTTTATTTATGACTAGCTTTCCGCCCGTGTAAAATTTTGTCCGTCACAGAAAAACTTAATCGCGCGCGTCCCTGTTTAAATACCGGGATAAAAAGTATCTCTTATGCCAAATTTCATCAAAATCGGTTCAGTGGTTTAGGCGTGAAAGTGACACAGACAGATTGACAGAGAGACAGTTAAGTACTACCGCATTTATAATATTAGTAGGGATTTCAGTGATGGTAACGAAAAGTATACGATTCTGTATTTTTGTTTACTAAATAAAAAACAGATCAGGGTTATCCAAAATGATTGTTTTTTTTCGTTATCTTCAATGTCGTCGAGGACATTTCGAAACTCGAAACCTCTGACCGTATTGATATTTTTATGTTTGTTTTATCTAATAATGCGAAAAAGTATAAAAATAACTTCACAGCGTATTATGGTGATAATACGTTTCCGCGATAATTATTATTGACATCCTAAAACATGGGATCGCGCTGGTTAACAAAGTATAAATTTATATCTCCATTCACTTGTTATTACATACTTATTATACCATTAAAAAATGAACTACAGCCAGCCCTTTGTGTCAACTGGAATCATTTCAAACAGTGACGATATCGTTTGAATCGAAATAACACGACTAATAATAGACACACCTAAATAGATGTTAAAGATCAACCCACAGTGATATGATCAATGCGTACGACAAGGATCTAAATGAACGCTGGAAAATCAGAATTACTAAGTTTTTTTGAATTTTTTTTTATTCAAATCAAACATTTTGTTTTACTTGACAAGTATATTTTGATTTGTTCAGTTACATCCTTGTTTTTATATGTTTTATGTGAATATTAGGTTCGATTCTGATATTATCCACTGTACCTAACACTGAAATTAAGAGTAATTTCTTTATCTATAAAATATGGCATCATATTAATAATGTTTTTGCTCAAACTCTTCCAAATTCGAGGTAATTTAAGAGCCTTAAAACACTCTGATTGTAACTGGCCACTTCTAAATATTTTTCAATTATTATATTTTATGATAAAAATACGAGACATATATTTTTAGAATGAGATACTGTGAGTGTGGATATTACAGATTTGAACCCAATATTAATGTCAAACTTGTTGTAGCGTTATGACAGTTATTGACAACATTGACATGCTAATTTAGCGTTTAAACACGAATAAACTAATATTAATGTTATATCTATCACTATATCCTTTCACCAATTTATTTTCAATCTTTTTTTGTCTATATTTGTTGTAAAAAAAATATAGTGAGGGGATATAGTCGATAGATAAAATATCGATACTTGATGAAGCGTATATTTACCAACAATCAAAGATACCACGTCTAAGTCGCAGGCAGAGCTAGACTAATAGAAAAAACGCAAAACATATACAGAAGTAAAACCATTTTCCCAGTCTACGGCATTTAAAGTGTAATATTGATTAAATATGTGAATATTTTTATCTTTATTCGTTTCGTAGCTTTTGAACAATATTCCAATTGGTTGGGAATATTCAAATATTTAAAATAACAAGCTATTTTATGTGTTAGCTTGAATGACGTAAGCTTTGAAGCGTCTCTTGTGATTTAAAAAAGAGTTTCTTTAATACTGTTCGTAAAATAAACATGTACTTACTTTGGCATTCCGCCTGAATAAGGGGGCTCAGACTTAGTGCCCATAATGCTGAAAATCCATGCTTCAATTAGTAAAAAAAGAAAAATAATATACATAATAGGAAATATAACATATAACTACACATGTAACTAAACAAAGATAGTATAACATAATTAATAGTCCTGTAAATAACTGAAAATAAACTAAATGTCCGTAGACTGGGTCTAATACAGGAGAGAATTTGGAAAAAAAAGGAAATCTAATAGGTTAGTTGTCAAAAAAGTAAACACACTTTTTGGTGAAAAAATGTGTTTTTATTTCTTACCAAATCAAAACTAATATACCGTGAGTTAGTGTTGTATTTGATGTGTATTTAATCTAATAGATTAGTATCTGAAAAACAAACGTCAGTTATTCACAGGAGTAAAGTTTAAGTGTTTTTTTTTTCAATAAAAACAAAAACAAATCAACTGTTTTGTACATCAATGTACTGTCGGGAAGTGATTGTGTGGCTAGGAAGTTAAATTCATGCAGAAAATTACCCATTCCTGGTAACATCGCATTCCTGTGGACACTCAAACACATATAATAACAACGAACTGCAAACATCGATATTAATCGATTCATAGCATGGCACATCACTAGATTTATTAGTATTTTTAAACATCGACATTAATAAGCACACTCTAAAAATAGTACAACATCACTAGGCGTTTTAAAAAATCAGGCCTTATTTTAGTTTATTAATGGCCGTTAATGTAAAAAGCTATTTAAATTATTAGTTTCAACAAAAACAATCACAAAGTAAGTTAAACAGTTAAATAAAATATAGTTCACACATTCAGCCTGCTAAAAACTAAAAACATGAGAAGAGTAATAAAAAACAAAATAAAACTAATAAAAAATATAACTTAAAGCGCCATCTATAAAACTATACCGAGGTTACTTTAGCGCTCGCACGCTGTTACAACGTCAGTCGCGCGGCGGTCTTCAAGCCGCGCGGACGTCTCTAGCTTTACCGCTACAACCGAATCGATCACCTCGCGTGTTTGCAGTACACATTCACGACACAAACTAATCAACATTTGAACATCTATTTATTGTATAACGTACAGAAGTCAGTGAAACATAATTGACACATTTACTAGCGGTTTGTATGTTACCGGTTCTGATGCAGGAGTTTCCTTTAACTTGGTCCACTCCGAACCAGGACATGAGCAGAACTGTAAAAGAAGCAGAATGTTAAATTCCTAGTAATGAAATATAAAAATAGTTCTTGAGAATGCGGGAGGCCTATGTTCAGCAATGGACGTCCTGTGGTTGAATGATGTGAGAATGGATGGATGGATGTGTTTTACTCAAAAACTACTGAACTAATTTAGATAAAAATCTACAGTGTTATTGTTTATACTTTAGAACAACATGAAAATATAGGCTATAAAATTTATTATTGACAATGTTACAGCATAGTTTCATTAAGTGAGATGCATGGCTAGAGCCACGGATGCCACAAATGTCATGATGGTGCAAAAAAGTTCTGGGGTTGATATTATTCTTGAATATTGGTAAAGGTTGTGTAGTCAAACCTCCCACTTGATAGACCGACGATCTGGTGGCACCTCAATGTAGGCAGCGCAAGACTGGTCGCTATGGAAATCCGTGGGGGAGGCCTTTGTCCAGCAGTGTATGTCATTAGGTTAAAATTAATTATTAGAAACCGAATTTGAAAAAAAATGTTAATTTTTGTACAGTCATCAACACATCAGCCTGTAATTACCTACATTATCATTCCAAAATAGTACCTATCACGACGACATAAGTGTGTCAGTGACACTCAACAAGCACACTGACGTCACAGACGGCCCAGGTTATCATATCTGCGCCCGCGACGACATTATCGCTCACCCGTGGCCCAGATTTTCTCGAATTATACCCGTGACGTCATTAACGCGTTTCCCGCGGTTTGACCGATTATTGGGAGGAGAATGGGGTGATATGGACAGTGAAGAATGTTAAAAGTAGAATAAAACATTTTTGAAATGTTTTTTCTTTCCTACTGTGCAGGCTAAAGTCAGTTTTGAAATAAGAAATAAGGTAGTAGAAACTACCTTTCTATCGATATGAACTGTCAAAATTAATGTCAAAATTCCGTGAATTTAGTGCTATGTGTAAAATTAACAGAATATCGTGATTGAATAAAACTAACGCATTTCTTCTGGTGTTCATAATAGGTGATTTCTGCTATGTAACAGTGCTTTGTGCAGTGTCTAAGTACATTGCTTTCTTGTGCTACTTACTTTTATTTAGTTTTCTCACTACTTACTTTCTTTAGTTTTCTTCTATAACTTATCCCTATCCTCATGAGCCTGAGACATGGTGGTCTTAAATTCTGGATCAGTCTATAAGACCTTGTTCAGACACAATCATAATCACGCGGTTTCTGGATGGTTCTCATTAGCGAGTGGCGACGCACTGAGGCGGTAACTGTGCAGTTACGGTTTGATGCAAATGTACAAGAACCTAATTCCACCAGCCCCGGAGAACCAGAAGCAGGTTAGCGTACCATCCCTACATAATTGTCGACATTCCACCAGCTCGCACTAAGAGCACAGCTAACTCTTTTATAATGCGAACAACTTGGGACTTGAATTCGCTGCCTGCTGCTGTCTCTCCCGAACACTATAATCCAGGCCTCTTCAAGGCGAGAAAGAATAGGAACTTGCAGGGCAGATAATTATGTACCATCCCAGACAGCATCTCACTAAACATCAAGGGTGATTCAGGTCAAATGCCTGCCTTATTTTGCATTAAAAAAACTACCCAGCAACCGCGTGATTATTGCTGTGTCTTAAGTTCTTAGCTAGGCCTTAATATTCTGTATTTTTGGGTTGGATTAGATTTTGTGCTACATACCTGGCACGGGAAATATCCAGCGCATTTTTCGCTAGTTGTGCTCGCGTCGACTCGAACCGGATCGCGTCTCACCTCGACCCGAGCGCCGCTCCTGTGGACAAAAATGGAACTAAAAACCCCGTTGAAGAACTAGGTATTAAACAATTTTAAAAAATTTTATAAAACAATAGATCCATGTCACTTCTGGGCTGTTTTGTCTACAAGCTGTTTTTGAGTCATTATGAGTTTCCGAATCAAAGCTAAGCAAAGACGAATCGGTTGATAGATTTTGACTATACAAAAGTTCCAGTGGTAGAAATTAGAGGTTGAATAATTAGTGCCGACAATCCACGCCATACAAAATATCTTGAACTTCATTTTAGTAAAATATTATTGCGTTGATAATTTTGCCCCAATCTCCCCTGATAGTGACCGAAAAATTAAGACAAGCGAATATAAAATATGGTTTGCGTAATTACATTTATAAATAAACATTGTTTTCAAATGAGCAGCATAAACGTGGGTAGATGAAGTGTGTAATATAAGATGCGCAAATCAAAGAAATATTAACACATTTAAAATAATAATTCCCATAATAATAATCTTGGCACAGTTTTTGAGTATAGCAATAAAATCTTATAATCGAGGACGGCCTCTAGACATTGTTAACGACAAACGTGAAGAAAAAAATAATGTTCTTAAGTAAAAATAAAATATCTATAGATAAAAATATATTTTTGGAAAAATATACTGCCTCAGTTGAAACTTGAACCCAGGTTACTGTTCTGACCATCATCATCATTTCAGCCACAGGACGTCCACTGCTGAACATAGGCCTCCCCCAAAGACTTCCACATCGCCCGGTTGGTAGCGGCCTGCATCCAGCGCCTTCCTGCTACCTTTATCAGGTCGGTCAACCTTGTGGGTGGATGATGGACGTCCCACGACTATTCTGCTCTGACCATTGAGTTCAAATATTTTTTATTGTGTCAGAGGTGGGAATCGAACCTAGGCGCATCTTAAGCCTAGGCGCAGACCACAAAACACAGAAACTAAGGAGATGTGTCAAGGGGGCGGGGCCGATGTCGCAGCAATATGCCCAAAAACAGAACACTGCTGCAGACGTCATAATGTAAACGGTTTACATTGCTTGCGTAGTACTAAAGATTATTCGAACGTTGTACTGATACCGCACTCCGCAGTGGATAATGAGCGCATATTTTGATTACTTTGTGTGTGTCAATTTCTAATGCGACACTGAGTTTCCAACTCAGCGCATTAGTTGGCATCTCTCTATATCTCTGTGGCGCAGACCTTCAGACTTTTAGTCGGCCGATAGTTGGGCCTGATTCTAATTTGTATGAAGAATGGGCCGATCCAATGTGTGCACTTTCATACATCTTCGTACTGATTACAGTTCGACTCAACTATAGATCGTTTCATCTACGAAGACGCGTCTCACCAATTTTTGGTCTCGGTCGCGCGGTGTGCGGGGAGTTTGATCCGAGCCATCCGAGCGGCATTATTGTAGTGTGCGTGTGCACTCATGGAAACTTTAGCGTGTACCGATAACACTCAAACATTAGCGGAAGAATGGTGGGGCGCGTCTTAGTGGATGAAACAATCTATGCAGCCTGACACAACTATCGGTCAACTATAAGTCGGTGGCTTCCGCCTAGTCTCAAACGTCCTTCTGCAAATGAAAATTCAATGTTCTCCAACGTGGTAAAAATCGGAACTAATAAGTTAATAACCCGGTATTGCTAGTAGCGCCCTCCTGTCAATGTCATAGCTGTGACAGTTCAGTCTTTTGGACAACTGTACTGCCCTCTAAAGCCCGGTCCGTGAGCACGTAGAATTTTGTCCAATCACCCCTAGCTACCCATCCTTATCGCTCGCGCGTAATTATGTTGCTGTCGCGCTCGCACACTCACTGCGGGTGCCAGTCGCACAGTCGCGACAGCAATATAATTACGCGCGAGCGATTAGGATGGGTAGCTAGACTAGCTAGGGGTCATTGGACAAAATTCTACGTGCTCACGGACCAGACTATACCTAGGTTATCTAAAAGAGGTTCCTTGGTTATCTACAAGAGGTTCCTAGGTTATCGGTAAGACTGTCACAATCGTCTTTCTTTTAACTTTCTTTTCTTGTTTTCTGTGTTGTATAATTAATTAATGATCTTATTAGTTTCGCAACACGTCTTGGTTCATCATCAACCGCTTCTGTGCTCTAGTGGTAAGACCACCTGCTTCAGACGCAGAGGTCCCGGGTTCGATTCCCAGCGGGAGCAGATTTTTCTGTTTGGTTTGGTTGGTGGTAGGGCTTGTTCTAAGTCCGCCTGGCTAGCATCTTACCTAAGTCTGTCGCGATAACAACAATATTAACAGCATTGTTGTGTTCCGGCAGTTAGGGGTAAGATACCTAGCCAGTTCCTCCGTGGTTGAGGATTCCGGGTGAAGCTCGCTTCCACCTTCGGCCTGATCGTCACTTACCATCAGGTGAGATACAGGCCAAGAGCTTCCTCGTTGTGGATAAAAAAAAATCATTTTCACTAATTTTCAGCCACAGGACGTCCACTGCTGAACATAGGCCTCCCCCAATGATTTCCACAATGGCCGGTTGGCGGCAGCCTGCATCCAGCGCATTCGTCTTGGAGTCGCGAACTACACACACCGGCAGATTTAGCGGAACGCAAAAAAAAGTATGAAAATAAGGAAAATTACTACTGATCTATGAAATATTTATTATACAAAATAAAGAGATAATTAAAATAAAATAAAATAACATATATTTTTTAAATATTTAGTCGTTTTTATTTAATAAAAAATCATCGAAACGAAATTTCAATTTTTCAGTTTTGAACAAAAATTAGAAATTGTGGCCAGATTAAAAATTAGGGTAGCTTATCACTATCCAAATGAATGAATTAATGATGGGTATTTCCCCCTCTTGCTCTGATGATGGTTTCCATTCATCTGAGCATGCTGCAGTTAATGATATGAAGGGTATTTTGGGGCAATGTCTGCCATTCCTCTAGTAACGCGTTTCTCAACACCACCGGTGGTATTCTGAGTTTAACACATCTTTTAAGAAAGTCCAAGACATGCTCTATAGGATTCTTGTCTAGGGATCTTGCCAGCCACTGCATCATGGGTATATCCAAATGGTTTAGATGTGCCTGTACTGAGCGAGCACTGTGAAAACGAACATTATCGTGAATTAAACTAAAGGAGTCCACAATAAATGGAGTAAATGGCACATCATGTTCTTCTAAAATGTTCCTAGTGTACCATTCAGAAGTCGTATTTCCTCCATCACCCACCACTAACTCCGTGCGAGCTCCCAAAAAAATCCTTCCCCACACCAGAATTAAGCTACCTCCATAAACCACGATATTTTCAAAATTAAGACTAAATGTTACGTTCTCTTTGTGTCTCCATATTCGCTATCTTCCATCGATCTGGTTTAAGAGAACTCTGCACTCATAAGTGAAGAGATCATGCCTCCAGTCGTTCAAGACCCAATCACGATATTCACGTGAAAAGTTCAATATGTTTTTTCGGTGCTGTGTCACAAGTTGGAGCTTTCTCGGGTATGCACGACCCTATACCAACTTCAGTAAATCTCCTGTGAACTGTGGGCTCAGTCACTCTTACTCCTCGAGTGTCTTTAAGGTTATTTCTGGCTTGAACAGCAGGTAACCGCGACTTTCTGAAAACTCGAAGTTGTAAAAAACGGTCATCCCGTCGCGAAGTACGCCTTTTTCTGACTTGAACCCTCCTCCTAACGACAGAAATGATCAATCTGTACCGTTGGTTACTGCCATGGGTGGTCGATACTGATCAACGACGTCTTACGGCAGCCGATTTGTATGCATGGCCGTTACTTCTCATTTCATCTGCCTTAATGATTTCTGACGGTGCTAAGCTGGGCATAATAAACCCTTATAAGTAACTGAATGCTTACACAACAAAATTCTCAGAAAAAAACATCTTTCACGTAAAAGAAATCCAAATTAGCAAAAGCTTCATTCAATTCAAAACACTCAACGAAACTGTTGATGGGGTAATTAAAACAAAATAATTAAAAAAATATACTGTTGGCAATTATTTTTTTCATATTTAGAATTAAATTAAAAAATAATGTCATAATTAGGCATTTTTTTCCTAAAATAATGATGATATTGATGCTTTTTTTTCCGTTCCTCTAAATCTGCCGGTGTGTGTATTTGCAACTTACATAGGATGCTATACTATATTGTGTAACATGACGTGCTGTTTTCATATATTTCCTAAGAAGCACATAGGAATTAGACAATTCCGTGCGTATTTATCACGCTGCAGCTGCTGGTTGCGGTGTGTAGCCCGGGTAATAAGAAAACATGATGAAATAATGAAATGCGGGCCAGATCCGCATGCGTGCCGAAATACGTATTACTCTACCCTAGGGATGTTATGGATATGTAGTTTCGGTTATGGATACGGTTACGGATATAGGAATAATATTATACCGGTTTCGGTTACGATTACCGATATTTTTTTATTTCGGTGATCCGAAAGTTTCGGTTACGGTTACGGATATCTGTGCTTTAGAATGCAATTTGCAACAGTTGTCCAACACGGTTCATTCATGGCCGCACACTTTACATCGAATAAAAAGTAATACAAAAATATAAATTGCTACCAGATGGCATTATAAAGGTAAATCAGGCTGTTATGCCTTTACATACAGTGTGAGTCACGTTAAAGTGTACATATGAAAATAGATGAAACTAGACCTATTTTTATCGACAAAAAAGAGGTCAAAAATTTTTTGAGATTTTTTTTTAATTTTTTATAGAATTTTTTTTCTTCCAATTACTTATTGTAAAGAAAACGTAATAACTTCTAAACTAAGCGGTATATCCTGATAAAATAAAAACAGTAATAATGCCAAATATCAGGCAATACTGAAAAAATACATAAAATACCCAGAAAATGCCAACAAATAATAAAAAATGATACTTTTTTAAAAAAATTTGCTTAAAAAATCGTATTTTTTTGGTTATTAGATAAATTTCTCAAAAAAATGCCCCTATAACAGGTGGTTTTTATTACTTTGTATTATTCACTATCGTTAGGGGTTGCAAGTCCCGGTACTAAGGAGTGTTACTGAATTACCGGTACCAGGTCTAAGCCAGTACCGGGAAAACCGGGAAATTCGGGAATTTCGGTACCCACGTCCTTTCTATCAATGTTAAATTCTACTTTTTTATATTTTTTTATATTTTTAAACCGGCAGACAGTGGTGACTGAGTTTGTTGCGGCGCTTCTTCTCAGCACTTGCCAAATGTTTGTCTCGAAGCGCTGGTAGGGCAAAAAAAGAATGAGACATGTATAGGCTCCTTAAGAGCATTTGACGATTTGCAAGAACTAATTTAATTAGTCTAAACAAATAAAGATAATTTTGATTTGATTTGATTTGAAATACTGGCAGCGACAAGAGTTAGGGACAAAACATAAAACTAAATTAGGTTTATAAAAAAACACGCTATTATAAGAAATAATAAGTAGTACCTAAGTACAATCAGATAAAACAATCAGTCTTAAAAGGATAGTAATGAATTAGGAACATTATTAATATTTTTTCATTTGTTGATAGTGTGTACGTAAAAAGATGATGGCATCTAGTCAAAAAATTGTTATTCAAAAATAAATTATTGAAGTCCCGAAAGTACCGAAAGTCTCGGGAATTGCATCGTCAGTACCGGAACTAGATAAAGGATTAGATTATCGGGAATTCCCGGGAAAAATGAGTACCGGGATTTCCCGGGAGCAAACCCTAACTATCGTATTATCTTTGTAAAACCAAAAATCGCATGTCTCTATCCCTATCACAATATTTGCTATGATCGTTTGAACAAAGGCCTGCCACTACATTATTCTCCGCTACAGGTAGAGACAATTTTAATTTTAACTAAAATGCTTATTTTACTTCGAAATCTTTTCTTTTTATTTGAAATCTAACTTGTCTTTATCAAAATTACAAATCTAGAGCCATTTTCAGTTTCGTTGTTAACGAAGCGTTGAATAACGCGCCCGGAGAGGCTTAGTTCAAACGATCATTGCAAACGTTGTGATAGGGATAGAGACATGCGATTTTTGGTTTTACGAAGGTAACACGATAGAGAATAATACAAAGTAATAAAAACCACCTGTTATAGGGGCATTTTTTTGAGAAATTTATCAAATAACCAAAAAAATACGATTTTTTAAGCAAATTTTTTTAAAAAAGTATCATTTTTTATTATTTGTTGGCATTTTCTGGGTATTTTATGTATTTTTTCAGTATTGCCTGTTATTTGGCATTATTACTGTTTTTATTTTATCAGGATATACCGCTTAGTTTAAAAGTTATTACGTTTTCTTTACAATAAGTAATTGGAAGAAAAAAAAATCTATAAAAAATTAAAAAAAAATCACAAAAATTTTTTGACCTCTTTTTTGTCGATAAAAATAGGTCTAGTTTCATCTATTTTCATATGTACACTTTAACGTGACTCACACTGTATAATGCTATACAAAAAACAATTTAAACTGCCTACATCCGAAACTATCCGAAACTTTTGAATCGGTTACGGTTTCGGATATTTTTTTATTTCGGATATCCGAAAGTTTCGGTTACGGTTACGGATATCCATAACATCCCTGGTCTACCCTCTCTCCTTAATCATCTCTAACTGTCCTTACTCTTAAACTCATAAAACTCATTAATTTTTGCAAGTAGGCTTTTAAAAAGCGCTTTTACACGTCCCAGTATTAACCCTACCACTGCTTCGGGACAATAAATGGGCCAGTGCTGAGAAGAAGCAGCGCAAGAAACTCACTCACTACAAACAGTCTACAAATAAATAACGCAAAATATCATCGTAGAATACAAAATATTAAATAACAAAAATCCGTTGTAAGCCGAAGCCCTCGTTTCGTGTAAATGAACCTACGTACTACGTAGTAAATAGTAGTCATAGTAACCTGTACGTAAATCTGTAGTATTGATACAGGGTGATTTTTGAGTGCATTGAAGTACTTTACGCTAGAGAGCTAGCCATGACTGTCAGTCTGCATTTCAAAAATGTACAATATTGATGCGAGTTTGAGAACTCTTTTATTATATTACATCCAATTTCTTCTACCACAATCTTTTTCTGATATGTTTTTTCATTTAAATCCTCATTATAATACTACGAGTTCGATTTTTCATAAATCTCTTTCGTTTATTATTGAATTTGCCGCAGGATCAAACTTAAAACGGACGGACCCCTTTTATCGTTTTTAAGGGTCCGATATTAGTTATTTTATTACTGTTTATTTGATGTATCACGTAATAACAGAAACAACCTTGAATACTTGAAAACTTTTTCACTTTTTTACGTCTTCATGCTACGTTTTTTCACGATTTCATAGTAAAATTAGTAAAAAGTTTCAAGTTCGTGTGAACTAAAATACGAAATACCTATTTATTATTAAAATAGTACGAGTACAAAAGCACAAAAAGTGTGTGTTTGTATAGTCGACAGAGCATTAAACTGTACGTTTTTGTCTCAATATAGTGCCTATTACAACTAAATTAGATGCCTTATTGTAAGTACCGCTTAATGTGCGTAGATTTAAAATTCAACCTATATGCTACGATTTCGTAGTCCGCATTATACTCGTAGGTGTGCAAACCCTAGATGTCATTTAGTAAACGACCTTTAAAAAATGAAATAAGTAGTTACGTGTCAAATAATACTGTGTGAAACATTAACTAACGTAAAAAGTAATATTTAAAACGCTTCTCTTTATTTAATACACGGTAATAGTTTCGTAACCTCTCTTGTTGATTATAAAGAATATTAATAAGTACTTAAATGCAAAAATAAATTCATTTTTGTGTTTAGAACAAGAAATATTTGAAGACATAGCAAAGATGTGTTAATTTTTACGATTTAAAACCTGTAAAATATAGAGCTTTGCATTTTATTTTATTTGCGATTAAGTTTCATTAAAATCGTAGCAAAATTACCATTTTAATTTAATAATTAATATGTTTTTAGTAATAAGATGTGGGATTATAATTTTATCCGTCAAAAATGCGCCAAAAACATGCTTGGGGCGAGTGGTGTCGACGAAGAACGCTGCGCGGACATTATCGATTTTAGACGAAAAGGAGGTTTCTCTTGCATTGTTTACTAAAACACAACCCCCATAAGTAATTTAAACGAGCACACTTTCCTAAATTAAACACTATTTAATTCATAATTCAATTTACAACACCCTGTATTTTTAATCGACACAACCAAATAGGTTATGCGTTACGCATTGCCAATTTTCAGCACACGCCTTATTTAAAATTGAATAAAAAAAACTTTTTTGAATATTTAAAAAAGGAATCACTTACCGGCCAGTATCATTTTATAATCTGCGAAACATTGACGATGAAAAAAATACACTATTTGTTTTTTGGTGCGTGTGTTATAACCGCACACGAAACATCGTTTGGTTATTATTTTATACGTTTACTATAGTTCACGAGTGGTATTCGGTTCAAAATCCATTTTGTGGGCTAGGTATTTGTCCACCCACCGCACGCTCGGCTGCGACTGGCCGGGTTACCAGCGCAACGAAAATGTCACCCGACTAAAAATATAAAATAGAGACGACTATGTTTCCCCGCGGCTGCTGTCTGTGTTGATTTCTGGTGTTTGTCACGAAAATAAACTACGGGAACTATTTTCATGTAAATAGAAATTTTAAGATTGGGATCTAAATAAAAATATTTAGTCAGTTCAGTTAATGCTGGGTATCGTAGCGAAATTATATTAAGTACAATTTATTCGGTATTTGATGATATACCAAATAGGTATACATTTAGTTAATTTTAGCCTCCAAAAATAAAAGATCATAAAGTATTATTAAAAGAACACGAATAACACGAAGTGAAATATGAAACGCACAATATTATTTTTGCAGTTTATATTATTCATTATTTTTTACTTTTATTCTTATTGGAAATATTCTTTACGGTTTTCTAAATATCACTTTTACTTGACGCATTCCCTTATATTCACCATATTTCTTTTTGATAAGAAAGACAACTTTTTTGGGGAGAACTTACCCATTGTTGAAAACAAATTTTAAATTGTAGCAACACCGAAAACCCGGCATTGGCTGCTCGCTGACGCTATGCGGAGATGTTAAATACACTGCCTACACATGTATTCTCTTTTATTTCGACTTTTATAAACGAAAACTTCATCATTAAAACAAAAAACGTGCACAAATAATAATAATTCTCAAACGCCTGCAGAAATGTAATAGCAAATGCAAGTTTTGTGTTTTTGCTATAATAATACTGACAGGCGTTCCGTCTTATTTACGTAAGTCGTACGAAGTTGCTGACACCGCAATGCAGTCATATTTCTGTTCGATTCTGATCCCTATTAAGATAGCAATAAAGTATATTGTCTTTGTTAATTTATATAGGTATGTATAAGTTGTTAGTGGTTAGTGCCTTGTATAATGAGGCTGCTTCTTCTAGAGATAGGAAGGTATTTATAATTAGCCAGAATGTCTCAAAGTGTTCTTTAAAGTACTTCGGATTTAAAAGACATTTATTTACGAATAGTGCCTAAAGTCTTGCTTGATTGCGTCTTTCGGTTATTGTCACTCCTGTTTTTAGCATTTTTAAGTAAATAAATATAAATTCATACTTTCACGTTTAATTTTGATACATTTTGCTTTGGAGATAGATTTGACCATGAAATAGGCTAGGTTTTACAACTTAAGCGATATTTAGTGTGAGCAGTCTCTTTCTTATGTTAGCCTTTGGTAAAAAACAAAGGGAAAATTTGCAAATTCACGCGAAACCTCGGGAAATAGCTAGTTTGAATGTAATTTCAGAAATGTATTTTTTTATCCCCTTACTGAATGATTAGCTGGTAGGGCCCAAAAGATAAGGAGACATTTAAAGTACCCCATAAGGGCTACCTTTTTTTTATTTACAATATTTTGACGTTGATAAGTGCCACCAGTGGTCTAAATTGAATAAAATATTTTTGATTTTGATTATAAGTTAGTTAAACAACTACACATTAATTTGATAGTGTTCCGTCGCCCGTCGCATAGATTCGTATCGACCTTGACGCCGTGCGGTCGACCCAGTCTGGGTTCGATTGCGGGTCGGGTCAATGCATTACGAGTATAAGCATGGAGGTTTGCAGTGAGATTTTCCAAGTAGTTAGGGCCTGTCTAGGAGGGCGAATTCGCGTGTGCGTCAGAATGGACGGTCACTACCCATATTTTACATCGAAACAAATATTAAAAGTTGCTACCCAGTTGCTACTAGTTGCTACTAATCGTTAGATAGTTGCTACCCTCGATTTAAAGAATATAATCTACTTTCTTAGGTGACACGAGCATATTATTGTATGACGAGATTTACGAGCGAATTTTTAACTCGCGCGTGTCTTGTGGACGATTTTGACACCACCAATCAATTGACGTACTTTTTAAAACTGTCAAAACGAGACCCATAGATTTTGTATGGCAATGCAAGCAAGTGACGTCACTATTTTGCCAACTCAAACTACTTTTTTCAATTAAAATGCAGCCAAACATCTTAATTTAGCAGGTAATGAGGATCAGTACTGTTGTAGAAAATTCAATAAAACTAGTATCTACGTTAATCTTTAAGACATAAGAAAGATATATCTTTTTGAATTATCCAAATCGGACCATTACTTACGAAGATATTAAGTAATAAACATAGGCCGTTTTTGCCGCTAAAAGTCAACGTACGCATGGCCGCGTGACGTCATTATATCCGAATCGAGCGCAGCCGGCGTACTATTGGGATGGAAAATATTTTTTTCCAGCTAAACTATCAGTTTTAGAAAAAAACTTTTAATAACATTTATTCTTCAAAATAAAGTAACCTATCGACCAGTAATTTTTAAAAATAAAAATTGTGTAAAATAAGTATCGCTATGTCCAAAAACCACATTTTCATAGGATTCGATGGAATGCGGAGACGCGGTTGGGGTGAGTGTAACTTAATGATTGTTTGTATTGAACATAATAATACATAATATGATGCTAATAAATTGATGGTGACATTCCACGGGGTCGGGTCGGTAGTTTGATGACCAGTATAAAGAAGGACAATGCTTATAGTTGCCGGTTATGTAATGGTACAAAACCTAAGTCGTAACCTAACCTAAACCTAACTCTTAACCTAACCTAAATCTAAGTCTTCTTAACGTAAACTAACTTAGAACTTGTGTTCTGTGTATTTGATTTATAAATACTGGTTATACAAAATACCGTCAAAATGTTAATAATAAATAAGACGTAATTACTGCTAGATTACTCATTTTTATATAAGTTATAACTGGTTGGAAAAGAGGCTGACAAAGGTGACTGAGTTTCTTCCGCCACTTCTTCTCAGCACCAGCCCAAGTTGTCCCGAAGTGGTGGTAGGGCAAGCTATATTTGGGACGTGTATAAGTGCCCTGGAAAAGGGCTGTATACTGAATAAACCATTTGAATTTATAATTGGATTTTTAATTTGGAAACTGCTTATTTATTAAACTACAGTATTATAGTCCTATATATTTCCACGGTATAATACGATATGATAGGAATATAACGTAAAGTGTTTTATGCTAGATTTTGCTTATTATTATTTTTCTTTGTGGTAACTTTATTAATTAAAGAATCTGCTTTAATACATTAATATTTCCTCAATTTACAAATGACTAATGCCTAAAATCTAACAAACGCATCAAACTCGGTACTTCTTTCCCAATTCCATAAAATTCAACACTTAGAAAGTGACAAAAAACTTTAAAATAGGTAGTTGAAACAAACCACAGCTAATTTTCATAGTGGACTGTACTATACGATAAACATGTCAGTCAATTTGACAACCTTTGTCGGAAACATTATCACGGTAATAATATCATACAGTATTATAACTTCATATAAACCGACGAAACGCGAGCTTTCCTTCGAATTTCAAATCTCGGGACGCGGTCGAAATCCAAAAGTTAGGGTTAGGGGTGTCGCGGATGTGCCGAACGGACGTCGATGGCCTAGCTAGTGTTGAAAATGACTAAGGTGATTGAATTTGACTACCGTCATTTACGGTCAAATTTGTCAAAATGGTCATTTTCAGTCAGTTTGATTTGAAATAAAAATTATATTGTATTAAACCAACTTTTGCCCACGACTTCATCCGCCTGAAATTAAAGTAACAGGTTATTAAGTACTCATTATGATTAGTAGATTTAAAATTATTTTAGTATTTTTTTTTAAATTAAATCTGCTAACAACACGCATTTTTATCCTATTCCATTCACAAAGTATTTTGTTTGTCTAAATAAAAAAAAATACAATCACAAAACTAGATAGAAATTCTAAGTAGACAGATGTAATTAGAATGGGTACTGTAGGTGGGCAGCCCTATCGCATGGTGTCATACCGTGACGTACCGCGGGGCTGTTGACATTTATTTCAAAAATATGGCCGAGTTGGAATACTGTATAGATAGTATTACCGTGACATTATTCAGTGAAAATATTGTCCGAATCCTTAGTATTTCTCTTCGACAAATACTTTAACACATTGTGAACCACTTTTCTTTCACGACTTTAAAAAGAGTTTAGCAATTTAATTCACAAAATCAATTGCACACATTTAAAATAAAGTTTGTTTACACTTTGACAGCAATACACTGACATGCAAGGTGACAAGTCAATGAAGTTTTCAGTTACTGTTGCCATTAAAAGAAATTAGTACCATTCGTTTTCCGCAACATGGCGAGGGTTTTTATGTTCCTGGTCGGGCTATAATTAAAATATAATCAATAGACTCAGATTTTACTATACAGTGTGAGTCACGTTAAAGTGTACATATGAAAATAGATGAAACTAGACCTATTTTTATCGACAAAAAAGAGGTCAAAATTTTTTTGAGATTTTTTTTTAATTTTTTATAGAATTTTTTTTCTTCCAATTACTTATTGTAAAGAAAACGTATAGCCTGACCAGGAACNAAAAAGGTATATTAATGTTTTAATGTAATTACAGATCATCAACAATTGAGAGAATTTTACTTTATCGCTTATTGCCCAAATATATACTTTGGCGGGCGCAACATAGTTTTGTATAATAATATTGCTATATAACTATTTCAGAAAAACTACGCCAATAAAATGGCTACATAATATTAATACATTGTTTAAATAATTATCTTTTATAAATTTAATTTTAAAAAAGTATAAAAAATTAAAACACCCGAAAAGGTACCAAAATGTCGCATGTTTGCCATTTTATTCGCCGGGGACGGCGATTTTTGCGTTGATAATTTTAGGATTAGATTGTCATAACTAGTCTGTTATAAAATATCTATTTACTATCCTAGTAGGTACCTAAAATTTTTTCTTCTGCATACATACATACCTACTTAATACAGTTTCTCTTAAGTACTGTGTTTTTTTTTGTAGTAGTTTACGAGATTTTACTTTTGAGAGTTTTTCGTTCATTTTGATAAGCATTAGTTTTTAGAATAAGAAAACTTAATGTGAGCTTAATATTGTATATATACAACTGTCTGTCTACTTAGATAATATTTTTATAAGTGCAATTTAACATAACAAAGCGAAATATTCGCCTGTTCCAATAATTACCTCATTTTTACTGATTGTAATGTTATTAAAATAAAATAAAATTTTTCAAGATCAACGTTTTATCTAAATAATGACTCNTGCGCGGGGGGGTGATATGATTAATTTCGCACTTTTTACCGGAATAAAACCACAATGGACTCTTACGGAACCGACTTTCAATGTATAAAGGCAATCTGTATTTCTACCGTTTTTAAGGTATAATCAAAGCACTATAACCTTAATGCACATTATATGTTACTCCAGAAAAAATAACGCATCGTTTGATATACAAACCGTTTGGATACGCCTCATAGTTTAGTTATTATTCAAAATTTTCACTAAATCTCTTCTCCTGTAAGATTGTGTTTTGTCGATTGTGGCTTTATTTTGAAAAACCATTTGTATTAAAAATTCTAAACCGCGTAAGATAGACCCTGATCGTTAAATGTAGCGGGAAGGCGCTGGATGCAGGCCGCTACCAACCGTGCGATGTGGAAGTCATTGGGGGAGGCCTATGTTCAGCAGTGGACGTCCTGTGGCTGAAATGATGATGAAGATAGATGAAGGGGGTAAAACCGGATCCACGCGTACTAAGCCGGGGGCGGCCGCTAGTAAAAAGTAAAATTCGTTCGTTTCAACCAAATGGCGTCCAATGTTGGACAAAGGCCTTCCCCAAGGTTTTCCACAATTCACGGTCCTACGCTGCCCGCACCCAGGCTCTACCCGCGACCCTTACCAGATCATCAGTCCAACTAGTAGGAAGCCTGCCTATGCCACGGTACATCTTCCAGCCGCCACTTGAGAACTTTTCTGCCGCAACGGCCATTGGATTTTAGCTATTCTGTTGCAGCGGGGGGTAAGATAGGGAGACGTCATAATATCTCCGAAACTGTTTACCATCGCCTTGGAAGATGTCTTCAAGCTTCTGGACTGGAGCGGATTTGGCATAAATAAATATCAACGGCGAGTACATCACCCACCTTCGATTCGCGGACGATATCGTAGTCATAGCTGAGACCTTGGAAGATCTAGGCACAATACTCGATGGCCTCAGTAGAGCCTCTCAACAAGTGGCTCTCAGAAAAAAGTAAAATTAAAACTATCAATATATAGAATTAATTTTAATTCCATTTAGTTAGGTAGTATTCTGTTTCAAATATCTTTATTTTAAATTCTAATCAGCTTTTTATCGGAACACGATAGGTTTTTTATAAGTTTCTCATTTTTCTACTGTAATATATTACACACATTCCTATTTGGTTATAATGTTAAATTTTATAGAAAATATTAGGAAACAATATTCACAGAATTTTCGTTTTCTTTTTCAGAAGGATTTTTAGATAACAACCAATTTCTATCCCTTTAAACAATGAGGTTGTTGTGGTATTTTTGTATAGAGTTGCTAAAAACCAGGTGCCTCCTTATCTATTCACTTAAAAAGGGTGAAGACAAGTGAAAACAATACAATATCGGTGGGGCATATTGTGTCTGTCTGTATTTGCAAAAATAAGCAAAATAACACATTCATCATTTAGTACGTCCCGGAGTCTCAACAGGATCAGTGCTTGCGAAGTGTGGTTGTAGCTGGAGATTCCTGTCAAGAAGCTGTCGTAACTGAGTGAGTTGCTATTTTATTTTTACCCGATTGTGCCAAAAGGAGAGTTATGTTTTTTACTTGTTTCTTAGTACTTTTACTTTGTTTACGTTTATTTTGATACTGACTAGGGTAAAAGTTAATGGGAAGAGTATTATGTACCCTCAATACTGAATTTAAATTTTCAGATCTGTCTAGCTCTAAGTCATTTAGTTAGTGTTTAATTATACATGGTGTGGTTTTGTAAAACAACGCCCATCTCAGGGGTGATAGTAGATATGAATGTAATTACAAGAAAAATATAAATAAAATTTTATTTTTTTTAGGGGATAGTTCGGTATATTGTACCGCCGGGTAAATTGTACCACCCTTATATTTCGGTAAGTATTTATTGAATGTCTGTAATTGCGACACTCAGCAATATGTAACTGAATTCTTTGAATATTGGCCATAATATGGTTTTTGCCGTGACAATGAACACGTGTTAATCACAAAGTGTTTCTAATTCATTATTTTGAAGCGTAATTTAGTGTGGATTACAATTATTTGAAACCAATCCAACTTAGTAACCCTGTGGTATAAATAATCGAACCGGTTGGCTAAATTGACCGAAGCTCAAACTCGTATTTTGTTGATTTGTTCTAAATACGAGTATACAACAATCATGTTGATTAATATGACTTTACTTTTGACTGATTTATCATACTACTAATCTAGTTTTTAAGAATAATATTGTTACTAACACAGCTCTGTATGGATCATAATGGTCTGAACTAATTGAAAGTTGAATAATTTATCTTTTATTACATACCATGGATATTAACAAATACAAAAGAAAACTATGTGTAAAATGGGATTGAAAAAATCTGGTCCAAACTACCGGACTCTACTTTATTAGTAAAAAAACCCCCGGCTGAGCGGGGGGACTGACCGATAGGTCGCCCGCGTAATAATACCATTTTCCTGATTTCATGGATTTTTCCATAAAAGTGTAAGGTGTATTGTTTTTTTTTTTGGCATCATTGTCGTGTATACTACCACCCCTAAGATGGGCGTTGTTTTACAAAACCACACCTCTATTATAGGATCGAAAGCATCTTCTAATAATGTTATTTTCACGTCTTTAACAGATCTAACAACATGAGTCCACCAATCAAGCGGCCGTCTAGCGAAATGGCAGTCGAGGGCAGTCAAGGTGACGACGTATGTATTGTTATACATGTATTTTAAAATGCAGTCCATATTTTATGTACTATCGGCAACAGTGTTAACTGCCTCATGTCATCTCGTTCTGTCGCAAAGAATCACCATTTGATGAGAGCGAGAGCTAAAACGGAAATGGATAGTGTAGTGATAGTGTGTGATATAGACGTACAGTGTGGCCGTGTGTCGGTGTAGACCTACCTAGTGAGTAGATATAAAAACTATAGTTTTTTTTTTATTCCAGGTATCTAAACGAGTAGAACCCGCGGCCTATAAAGGTCATTTATGGAACGTAAGGCAGACAAACATTTCTTATGTTAGTCTGCCTCCAAAAAAAAGACTTAAGTTTTTGACACAACCGTCTGCGTCCAGACACTGGACAGAGAAAAAGTTAAGGTTTCCGAAGGCAGTAGGAAGCTTTGATTATGATCTCACAGACGACGAGAATGAACCTCTACCTGACCCTGTGGATCCACAACCCAGCGAGAGTGTAGACGAGAATGAACCTCCAGTTGACCCTGTGGATCCACAGTCGAGCGAGAGTGTCAGCGATAAGGTAACAGGATTAAATTACTTGAAAACTCAAAAAGCACCGACTGGTTACAAAAATCTAATAACTTTGTGTCTTTTACAGGAAAACATCGAATTATCCGACACCACAGAATCTGAGTCGGAAGATGAGGATCTCGAACAGGAAATGGCAAGAAGAAAGACTAAACCTGATATGGTAAAAAATAAACTTTATTCACTAGTCAAGTACCTTACTCTATTAATATAGCTCAATTGTTCAGTACTTAGCTAATATTTTCGTGCTTTTACAGATGGCGATCGGTGATGGTCACGTGTACGTGCCGAAGTGCGTCTTCAAATGCGTCGACTGGACCTCACACACTATTGCTACGAGAAAGTTGTTGTTGGCAGTTTTCCCGCGAAGGTATACTTAGATTCAGTATTATGTTTGACCGTAATAATATTTAGGTACCTATTTGTAATCATTTGATTCAATACTGACGGTTTAACTAATCTTTTCAGAACGTTGGGAACTAGTTCGCTGACAGGCAAGCGTTCCCCGGCTTTCCCTCACCTGGCGCCGAAGAAAAAATTGCCCGCCAAGATGGTCTCCGATATCATACAGACCGTGGCGGAGCGATGTCGTGTATCGACAGGCCTAGTGCGGTATGTATATAGCTTTAGCAATTTCACATTGAAATTAATATCAAACATACGAGAAATAACTTATAAAATTTTCTGTGTCTAAAATTAAATAAAATAGTTTTTATTTTATTGATTTCATGATTATAATCATCTAATCTATCTAATGCTATGTAAGTATATTAATTAAACGTCATATTTATTACACCGCCTTAGTCTCTCTACTCGACCTGTGGCGGACTGGCAGATAATGCCACCTGGCATTAAGTCCGCCACTGTACAGTTGTATGTGCAAAAGTGTAAATAAATAAAATAAAAATAAATTATATTTTCAGCACCGCCATCACAAGCAAGTGCGCAGACGAAGGGAAATTGCTAAGAGAGAGCCGGAGAAACTAATTTTCCGACTTCTAAGGCAAGTTATTTCCTGTTATATTTAACTATAAACTTACTGATCATTTCAACGTCTAATGCATCCGAAGTTAATTTCTATGCTTTAAGTATTTACCCATGCTAATTTAAAAAACTCTTTTATTTCAGATTAATCGTCCTGGGATCGTGGCCGTCTCAGCTCGCCAAGTATTTTTTTATTATATGAAAGTTTTGACGATGTTTAAATTTAATTCAGTTAGTTTAGTTTTTAAGTAATTTTAAGTTTTTTGTAAACTATACTAATATTATAAAGAGGTAAAGTTTGTGTGTTTGTATACTTTTTAAATTGTAAGGGGTAATCCGGGATCTACTAAACCGATTTTAAAAATTATTTCACCAATAGAAACCCACGATATTGCTGAGTGTCATTGGTTATATAAAAACCGAAAAATTCACCGCGGGCGAAGCCGCGGGCGGAAAGTTGGGTATCATAAAATTGTATATTGCCTAATAAAAACCATTAGGTTTAAGATATGTAAATAAATTTTTATCCAAAAAAAATTTTGTTTTACTTAAAAAGTATAGCCTGTTCAGAAACATATGTATGTGCAATAAATAAATAAATAAAAACCCTGGCGTAGAGACGCGCCAATTGCATTCATAGTGCAACACTGAGTGCAGTCATACCTGTATGAATCAAAGCTCAGAGGGCTGAGTATGAGTTTAATCAACACGCTCACTAACACCACTACATTTTTATCGCCGAAAAAATTTAAACAAGTTATATGTAGAAACGTGTGAAAAATTTAAAGCAAAAGAAAAAGAAATGTTCTTCATAAAGTTATTTTTTTTTTATTAAATTTTCTTTAGTCCGTATTTTACGCGTCACAGCTGGGTCACTCCGCTGCTCGCTAGAGTAGTCGTACGCGCTCGCATATTGCCCCGATCTGTCTGTCTCGCTCACGCCTCGACCACGCTTCCAGTGCTATTATTACATACGTAGTAGCTAACTCAGACCATGTTGAGTTCTAATAAGTATTCTGTATTAAGTATGTATTACATTATCTTACGTAAATAGTACTAGCGACGCGTGTGTCCATAAATTACCAATTTTGGGAGGAAATTTTGAGTAACTTTATTTAACTTTTTTATTTGCATAAATAGGATCAGTATCAATAACTCATTAACCAGATTTTTTTTTTTCGGTGATAAAAATTTAGTGGTGTAGCGCGTTAATTTTAGTTCTTGAAAGTTTCCGCTAGGGGCGCTGAACAATCCATCCTGCATACATTTAATGTCATTTTTTTTACGCGCTCACATTATAAACTCACACTCAGCCCTCAGACTTATCAACTCGGAAAGGGATCAACACCGTATCGCTTTTCTCGAGCTATCATCGCCTTTCACGCGCAGTCTATTGCGAGGCGATGCGTTTACGTTACGGTGCGGAAAAGTGTGCGTTGCACTATGGAGTTTTATACAAAGAATTTATAATACCGACTGCCTCGAGTTAATTGATACGGTTACGATCCCTTTCCGGGTTGATAAATTTTAATGTGCGCCGTCCTTTAACAAGCTAAATTTTATTATGTATCAGGATTCAAGTCTAATTTGATATTTTAATAAATTCACCAAAAAGACAGGCATATAGGCAATTGGTTGAAATAAATACTTAGATTGAAACCATCAAGCGAGCTAGTAGGATTTATTTATTATCTTTATCAATAATCGAAATCAGAACTTGAATATTCCACTGCAATGTCTACTGGTGAACGATTCAAACTCTGTAAAGGTGCGTACCGTAATCCGTACCGTACGGATTGCGCGTAGCCTGCATGCAGCATGAGCATTTCTTAAGGTGCGTACGGACCGTACGCACCTTAAGAAATGCTCATGCGTAACAGTGATACCAGTGTCTCTGATGAATCACTGCATGTAGAAGTTTTGGATTCTGATTTCGATTATAGCGAATAAAACAAGGTTTTGTATGAAAATTCTTTTATTGAAAAATTAAAACTAAATTAAAATTAAAACTAAATTAAAATTAAAACCAAATTAAGATTAAAATTAAAACTTTACATTTTAATTTAGCCAACGCCAACCAGTATACTAACGAAGCTAATTCACAAGACCGACTACTGGGTGTTTCCACAAGTCGCAACACAGTCATGAGAAAACGCTTTAAATACTTCAATAAAAAGCATAAAAAAGGCAGAATTTAAAGTCCACAAGTACATAATTATTATGGGATAACAAAAAATACCGAGGGCAGAGTAACAGAAATGCACATTTTCACAACAAAAAGCCTAATCAACAGTGGCCGAAAATATACATAATAAGACAAAAATTCAAGAGTGGACGTCTCGCCAAAGCGATACCTGCTACAATAATTAAATAAAAGCTACAGACAGTAGAAGTTAATCACAATTTGTATCTGATTTTGTGTTTGATCTTAACGTGCTGTGATTATTGAATATGTAGTTCAATAATTATGACAAATAAAATTGTATTTAATTTAGATAAACTGCAGTGCACGATAAAATAATTGAGCGTAAATTTTGAAATAAATGATGTAATAGATTTATACTGTGCGCTAGATATGATTAAAAATTATGCATTTATAAAATAGCTCCACTTTCTAAGTAAACAGCAATACGTCACGAACATAAAACGAGTCACACCACACCCAAATGAGTAACCCTATTTGAAAAAAAAAACCTATTTTGCACACAGGCCCAAATCTACAAGCGGATTTATTTCAACTATTGCTAAAATTCCAGCTGTTGTTAAGAACAAGCAGAATTGAATTAGTTACTCTAGAAATCTGACTTTATACTTTTAAAATAAAGCTTGATCACTGTGGCAGCCAAAGGTTATGAACTAATAGAAATCTGATTTTATACGTGTAAAATAAAATAAAGCTTTATCCCTGTGGCAGTCACCGGCTGGCAAAGAAAACCTTACAGTTTTTTTTTTCACTAAGAGAAAATTCTTTAGGTCATTTATTAACTTCTTCGGACGAAGCAGGTGGTTCTTGATTAGTTGATTTGGCGCAACATGCTGCGCTTATTAAAAATGGATTTCTTTGGCATAACTAAATCCCGGTCTCTGAGCACGTAGAATTTTGTCCAATGACCCCAAGCTCCTTATTGCTCGCGCGTAATTATGTTGCTGTTGCGCTCGCGCACTCACTGCGGGCGCCCGTCGCACAGTCGCGACAGCAATATAATTACGCGCGAGCGATAAGGATGGGTAGCTTGGGGTCATTGGAAAGAAAACTTGCTCGGCGACTAGACTAACAGCCTGTTAGCCTAGGGGCAGTTTACTTCGGCTTCTAATATTTTCTTTGTTGGATGTTTTCTAGTGCGTTTTGCGGTACGAGCTCAGGTCTCTCAGCCTCTTTGCGCTTTGATGTATTAATTCCTTTCAATGGCGACTTTAGTGCTTACCACACGTTCCCATGAGCAGCCCAAAGCCTGAGCCAAATTCCTGTGTGGTTGTAATCCCAGACTCATACACAGACTGCAAACTGCAGAAAGGCTACGTGATGCACCCCCACTTCCCTTCGATCATTGTAAACGAGCGACATTTGTTGGGCAATATTGACTTGTATCGACAATATTGGTACACAATATTGCGTCAATATTGTGCGATATTGACGCAATGTTGCTAAGCAATATTGGTAAATAATGCTCGTTTAATAAGACCTAATGATTTCGGTGTTCTGTCAGTGGAATGTGTCTAGTTTGCGGTCTGGGATGAGTCTGAAAATATAGCCACACAAGTTTTTGAGCTTAATTACTTCTTAGGCCTACTCATGGGTACGCTTGATTAGCGCTTTAGTAAGTAATTGTTTCTACTCTACTGCGCGAAATTTTGAATCTCGTTTTTAATGTCGGTTAAACTCGGTTATATTTAGAGCATGCATACGAGAACTGTTTATAGAGTACCACTGTTCAATAGGATTGTATTATTGATTATTGATATTATTGTGCATGTTCATATTATTCATAGTGTCTTACGTCAGATACCTTGGAATTGATCTTTCTCCTTCTTGTCCGCCGAATGCAATGGTGTAGGTTCCTCTCGGAAAGGTGAAGCCATCCAGCTAAACATATCGTGGTTTTGTTTCCCAGTGATAGGACCGGTACGAGCTACCCCACGGACTTTCCTTGAATCCTTCACTTAGGTCCAGACTCAGATCATAGAAAGGGAACAGGTCATTGTCCCAGCTATTCAGCTGTCGTCCTTGATGTATCTTGTATTTGGTACAGAGGCTTGCCTACAATAATATTAACTTGCAGAGCGATACAAAACTGTACATGACATCACCGACATTCACTTACCCCTGGTAATTGTTCAATGAGATATCTCAGAGCGCTAAGCTAAGATGCTAGATGGTAAGTTGTAGTTTATCAGTGGAAGACCAGATTCTTTTCTAGTATTTTGTACAGCTTCAACCACTTTTGCCCAGAGATCTGTCAGTGAAGACGACGTGTATATGAATCCATCTTCAGATGTCACCTCATAGATTAGTTTGGGTCCATCATCCTTGGGTGGATCTGATGTTTGTTTCGGTGGTGTGACCTTGTTCTCTTGACCTTTGCTTATTTTATTGTGCTTCTTGGTTGCTACTGGCTCAGGTTCCGGTTTCTTATCATTATTTTAATGACAAGTCTCTTGATAACTTTACTTGGTGGATTGAGTAATTTAGATGGAGTTAGATTTCTATGTCTTTCTCTAACTAGCATTTTTGGAAGTTTTTCGGTCAATTCAGCGTCAAAATTAGGCATAGAATTATTTTAGTGCTTGTTTCTATTTGTTACAACAGCTGTTGTAGCTGTGCTAGTGTTCGCTTGGTACATTATCTACTGATATTGGTAGGGCACGCCTACCTACTCGTTCTTCTTTCTCCCTTTTAGCTTGTTCTAACTCCCTCATCCGCCAATTCTAGTCTGGCATATCATGACACACAGGCCGTTGTTTTGGTACAGCAGAAGTTTTGGTGCTAGTTTTCGATTTACTTTGTCCATCTCTGTGTAG